ACAAATTATTTTATCTTGACTCTTCGATGTGATAAGCTTAAAAGATGATTATTATAAGAATCATGTCTCTTATATCTAGGTATTCATTATTTCTTTATATAGAATGCGGCTGTTGCTATATTAAAAACTGAAAATAATATAAATTATATTATTTAGGCACAATAAATCTGCGCGTAAATAGTATTAAGTGTACGATTTTCTGTCTTTTCATTTCTTATTCTTCTTCATTTTAGTGATTAATTTATCTCGCTTCTATTAACTGTATGTATTATCATATTATCTGTTAGTGTTATATTATTAGTTAAATTTGTTTTAATTATCGCTGAATTAGTTAATTGTTATTACTAATATGTTCCAGAATTATTTTATTTAATTAATTTTCTTGTTTAAGGGCTCACATTCAAAGGCACGTATGATATAGTAAATAAATACTTTATCTATTTGATATTATATTGATATTTGATGGTTTCCAGTTAAACTATAATAAATTGTTATAAAAATTATTAATTTATTGCACATAGAATATATTTCTCATAATTTTGCAACTTGCAAACTTTTCTATTATTTTAAATTATTGAAAAAACATTAAAAAATATATATCTTGTGAAGTCTTTAGAAGACGTAATTTAATAAAAATTGCACTTTATTAAATGTATACCTATATATTTAATCTTTCAATATTAGCTCTATTAATTGTAATCATTATAATAATTTTCTAAATTTTGCTTAATTGTTAAAATTATTATTAAACACTATTAAATTGTGTATTATTTTTTATCTACATCAAAAAAATAAATTTGGATTTGTAGGAAAAAGATAATGTGGATTCGGAAAACATAAAAAAGTTTTTTTAGCTAACAGAAATGTTGTTACAATAAGAATAAATATTAAAATTGATAGCAAAATCACAATTTTCATTCATCTATATTCATCTATATTAACATAAAATGTACAAAAAAAATCATTGCATGTGCAAATTAATATTTGAGGCAATAAATAACCGTATTTTGATTTGTGCGAACAGGAGGGCGCCATAATTTTTTTAAGCGCGGGTCACCTATAAATCCTAATATTTTTATCATACATTATCCGGGAACATACACAGTTCGTGTGCTTTTAGTAGGTCAGTGTATCATTTTATTCGCGAAAGAGCGTTCGCTCGTAGTAAACGCAGCTCATTCGGCGAACGTTGAGACTTTAAAGAGAATTTAAAGCTCTGCATCCTCTACGAGGAAATGATCCGTTGCCGTGCGGACGAAGAATGGTTTTGGAAAACCCGTTTTCGCGGCGCTTACTGCCACGACGATTCCTCCACGGCTACATTTTACGACAACACAGAACACCACAATTGTATACCGTTAAAACTAAAATATCGTCGCTGAGATAAAACCGCAGCTCCTTCAAACGGGATGCCATTTCTCTTTCGCTCGGGGATCACAGTTTTCTATCCCCGGCTTGTCCCGACTGAGCTGCGTTCATCAGTAACTTTATCTTACATCTTGTAAAAAGGAATGAATATTTAACTGTGAGTAAAAACATAAAAATGCACATGAGGAATTTACAAATTGTAACCGTGTTAAAATTACACCGAAATTGTCTGAAAACTATAATCTTTAAAGTGCATTCCAAATAAGCGATTCATATTATGTTTACTTTTGAAAAGTACTGTAAGAAAAATCGAACTCGAACACCTTCAGTAACAATGTTAATAACACCGAATTAAATAAAGTGCAATATTCTTGTTGTCCGTCGAAATTTATGCAACGAAACTATGCTCTCGACGGTCCTGCCGCGATTATGCAAAACGTGACACTCTGCGTAACTTAATAATGTCACAACAAAAAGAAATTCGCGGTCGTGCAAGAAACGCTATTTACGGCGACGTAACTGCAATCATGCTGTCCGAGAAATTTGTTTACAGTACTGCCACTGCTTTTTGCCCGAGTCGGCTCTCTCAACTCGCAGCTATAAAATCCTCGTAACTATAAAATCCAATAATAATGTCACGACCGTTTGGCATACATGTTTTTTCAGAAGCAAATATATTCCGCAAAAATCGCACATATTCATTTGAAAAAAAATCCTTTAGGATAAAAACTCTTATTTTTTCGAAATAACATTAAAAAAATTAAACTCGATTTATATGCATCACAAATATCAAATAAAAAATATTGAAAACGTCGGTGCAAAAGTGATTCTCATTTTCAGTTGTAATATTAGTTATTTATTAGTATCTAACTCAGATAAAGCTGGTTAGAAATTTGATTATAAATTTTTGAAGGATAATAGCCAGATGTTAATTACATGGAAAGAATTTCGATTTTCCCAAAGTATCTAAACAAAGCTTTGACAAAGTATTTAAACAAAGTTTAACTAAACAAAGATTTGAAAATACCAATAAGGATTTTACAATCAGCCCAGTATTGGGCTAGTACAGACTGTAATGGTTCAGGTACTGGCGCAATACTGACAAATTATTGGCTCAGTACTGGTTAAATATTGGATGATAACTTGGGCCCAATACTGATGGTACTGACTCAGTCATTTTAGTTATTTATTTGCCAGTGATAGTTCAGTATTGACTGACAGACTTTGGCTGTCATTTGCGAGGGACAATCCCAAGTATTGATTGATAGAACCTTTATCGTTAGTTGACAATTGTAACGTGAGTTGGTTGAGTGTGTTGGTTTTGTTGTGCTGGCGATCCTAAATATATGGATAATTTTATTTAGATCATCAAAATAATTATGTAGAAATGCTAAAATTGATTATTGGAATATCAGAACTTTTTGTGGTATTGCTCATCATGCTTGAGAGTTTGGCGTAATTATTTGGATGTCCCTAATAAAATTATTTTCAAATATGTATTTAGCTAATAAATTTTTTAATACTTCATCAACATTGTTCTTTCCATGTATTCATTGATTAATTGAAGATTAATGAAATATAATTTGTACAAGCATCGTTATTTGATATCAAACAAAATTCTATACAACGCATATAACTTCGTTTTTTTGTAAATTATAAAATAATTTCATTTTTTTAATAAATTAATTACAAACAAGTGACAAACAATTTTTCAGAATTGAAGTATATAACAGCAACACAAAGAAAGCTTTGTAATTTTATTAGCTATAAAACCTAATGGCAAATAAATAAAAATGTATGCGTTGTGGGATACGTTCTATGTGCAGAGAAAGACTGAAGTATTTTTCGCGATAAAAACGCAAGGTGCTTTCAAGCTTGAACGGTGATCTGGATTTTATGGGGTTGCTCAATAAAGACGATATTTACGAGGATCGAATTGGCTGTCGAGAGAAGTAACGTATAACAGATGGAACGCGGGGTCGATTTGTGGCTTAACGAAATCCTTGCCCCATCGTGGTCTCCTCGTATTCGAGGCTTTCGTACCGCGACGACGTACCGGAACGATAAACTAACAGGATATACAAGTAACGAGATCGGAAACGTGGAAATCGAAAGGTGGGAGCACACGCCATCGCATCCCGAGTTGCCAGAGTTTGGAATTTCTTTCTCGTTTGTGGACATAAAAGGTTTGTGTTCTAGTAGAGACTAGAAATGTCGTTAGAAACATAGATACTTAGAGTATATAGAATAAAATACAATCCTTTTACCTAAATGTGTCACTTGATAAAACAATAAATAGAATATTTAAAAACTCAAGAATGAAACGAAAAAAATTATTTCAAGAAGATTTATTTACAGCTGCCTCTTCTTAAATAATATATAGCTACGTTTTGTCAATAATACGATTAAAAACTTTATGGAATATATAACAAGAAAATGCAGTTTAATAATGATGGAGATTTACCAAAATTAAATTTAATTCAAAACGAATAGCCAACATTGATGATTATTGATATATCCGCAGTTTGAATCGAGACCGACACATTCGACATATGTCAATACAAGAAGCTAGATCGCATGAAATGTCGATAGCATTAAATTCACCCGGTGAATTTAATTAACTACTAAATTATTTTCATGTAAAATTCCGATAGGAGATGCGTTCTGCGACGGTGCTTAAACAACGTTCCACCGAATATCCATATCAAAACGAGTAATATCACAGCTGCCACTTGACATCGCAATATCAATAAAGACCGGACAATGCCGTCGCGGTAATAACTGAACGAAGTTATTGCAAATTAACGTTTTATTCCGCAATTTGATACGTGATCATAACGTGACGCAAATGACTCGTGACATTTACTCGATAAAGACGTTATTTCATGACTGACGTGACTTTTCCTGTAATGTCACAACGAGAAAATCAAAACGACATGTGTAATGTAATGTCATGCACGCACAATCGCCTTGCGATGCATACGTAAACGCATGTCTTCTCACGAGAGAATAGAGATACAACAAGAGAATTTTATAGACAGAACGCGTCAGAGCTATTATTCAATTGCTGCATTTAAAAGAGCTTTTGAATAATTTTAACTAAACCAATTGTTGCTGATTTATATTGTATACACTGAGAGAACAATTTTTGGTGTTTGTGACTATAATTACATAATGATAATTATTACTGTAATAATATTAGTATAATAATAATTATATTTATAATATATATAGG